CGTCCGCCAGCACGTCCAACTAATGAATAGCAACCATCATGTGGCATAATGTAAAGGTAATCATTGTGTTTATCGTGAACACGTGGAATAAATCGAACACAACTTATTTCATGAAATTTTTTCATTGCTTTTGCAATTACGGAACGTGAGTATGGCCCGTAACGTGAACTAATAGCATATGGAATTTTACCATTTGGCCAACGTCTAAAATATTATAATGCAAAATTTAATACCTGAAAAAATATACAATGAAATGAATGAAATAAATTTTAAAAATTGATTATTTTAATCATTTATTCCTAAAAAATTTAGCAGGCTAAATATTGGAAGTTTGATGAAAATTTAATTTTCATCTTATTAAAATGTATAGATAATTTATAAGTTAATTATCGTAAATTTGTTGAAATGAAATAATTTTCAAATGATTATTTATACTTGTTATAAAATGTAATATTACCTGTAAAATTGTCTTACAGCACTTCGTTCCAAACGACTATTTGGATAATCAAGAAATCCTTTTAAATTTGGTAAAACAATATCGCCTTCACTCATATTACCCATTGTTGGATCAGATTTTATTTGAATACCTAATAGTGTGAGATTGAATTCTTTTTCGGGCGCTTTTGCAAAATCACTATCTGTTAGTGTTGTTTCTTCATCAATTTCGTTTTCATTGATAATCTAAAATTTAAGTATGGAATATTTCGGAGATATTTTTGAAAATTATTGCAATTGTAGGAAAAGAAAACAAAAAATAAAAACTTAAATTCATTTTGTTATAACAATTTTTTAATGTTCAAAAATTTCTTTTTAAATTTTATTAAAGTGCGAACTTAAAATATTAAATTAAATTTGTTCTTTAACTTTTTCAATTTGAAATTTTTAAATTTTAAATTTTATTAATAAAATTATGTAAAGCAATAAAATTTGAAATCTTACATCTTCAAGTTTTATAGTTATTGCTAAATTTAACAATAAACCAAATTGAAATACTAAAAAACAAGCGGTTTTTGATTGTGTTGCCATGACTGATAAAAGTTGCTGTTGGAATTAATAAACTGTAAGTAATAAAAATATATTTGCAGTAAGCAGAAATTTCATTAATAAGCATTGTAAATTACTTCAATACCGTATATATTGCATACATATATATAAACATATATGATATTTTTGTTTAACGGCAAACAGTGGGCGACTAAAAAATATTAAAAATTTTGTTTGAAATATATTAAACATGAAATAAAGTGGATTTGACGTTTCCGTTTATATTTACGAGTTAAAATTTCATAAACTTATTCGAAAGATTTGAAAGATCAATAATTGATCGTAACTAATTAACGCCCTCAGCGACATATTTTTATTAATCTTTAAGATCAGGTAGAAATATATTAAACTTTAAATAGAATAGATATAAAGACTATCATTTTTGATTATACTTTCTAAAATTAATACTTAATTCTTAAATCTATTCATAAATTAATTGAAATCTCAAATTGTTAAATTAATTTGTATAAATTAAGTGTTAAGTTTGAATGATTTCGATCAGTTTCTAATCTTTCAGCATTACGCGATGGTAATTGATCAGTCAGATTTATCCAATATAATTAAAACTCAATTACAATTTGGTCTTATCATTATGATTTATTTTTTTAAGCTTTCTTTTTGTTTTTAAAATTTAGAAATTAAAAATGCAAGGTTGAAAAAAAAGGAAAAGGAACAATAAATGGCATGTAGTATAATTAAATATAAATATTATGTTATATGCCAATCATTTTAGCAATGAAAAGAAAACGAACAATAAATTCAAAAGATTCAAAATAGCAAAAAATTATAAAAATGTAAAGAGAAGAATAGCATATTGACAACCTTTTAGGCACTGAATAATTAATAATTTATAACAAAAAGAGTGAAATATTAAATTTGGAATGGAAAAAAAAGGAAATACTAATTAAAATGCCAAAAAGTTTAGTGAGAAATTTTCTCAGCAGCTAAATGTTTTATTCATTTTTTTTTTCGCTCTTGCTTGAAATTTAACTTCCTGAATTAGCAATGATAAAATGGTTGGATTATAAAACAAAGAGGAAATTGTACTTTTAATACTTTCCGTTCAATTTTATTCCATTTAAATAAATTACAAATTTAAAACCTTCACAATTTGTTCCCACTCAGACAAATATTTTTGCATGACTCGAAGCAATTTATGCTATTTAGAAAAAATAAAGATAAAAAAATAATTTGTAGAATGCCTCTTTTTTTTGCTTTAGCTGTAAAACCCAAATTTTTCAAATAACGCAAATTAGAAAAAAAAGTAAAATAAAAGCAGAAAAATTTAATTAAAAAAATTTGAATGCAAAAATTTTCGAGAAAAAAAAATTTTTTATTTCAAGCCGTTTACTTTATATAATTGCATGAGAAATGTTCCAAAGTATTACAAACTTTTCCATAGGGAAATTAATGATGTTAGCTATTTTGATTGTTCTGCTTGATGCAAGTGATAATTAAGCCGCTAATAATTTCAAAAGGAGAGAAATGATGATAGCGCTAATGATATCGATGGTCATTAAATGGATGACCTCGGTCAAACATTTAGCATTTTTAATTATACAATTGATTCACTGGTAATAAATGATTGCAGATATGTTGCTCAATGATTTCAATTTTTAACTGCAATATACATTTTAAATACTGAAAAAATCCCAAGAATTATTTAATTATAGTATTAAGAACTTGGAAAAAAATTAATAATTTAAAAAATGCTATTTGGGTAAACATTCCTAAACTTTTCAAAAATTCGCCATTATTTCCTCTTTCCGCTCAAAAATGATTTAACTTGTAAAACGAAAGTGCACATTTTATGCATTCTGGAATAACGAAAATAAGGGAGTATGAAACCAATTTTTTTTTATTTCTTTAAAAATTATTTTGTTCTTTTGGAAAAATGTAAGCTCTAAAAGAAGAAAATGACGAAATATGAAATTCCTCCTTCCAAATTATTTGATTCTTTTCAAATATACAAATTTATCAATAACGATGTTTCAAATAAAAGAAAATCCTAAAATATGAAACATAGAATTATTTAATAAATTTTAAAAATCATGTA